TCTCTTTGAAGGCATAGATAGTTCCCTTTGTGTCTTTGTACCCCTATCACTAAGCTCAGTGCCCCATGCGGTCACTTAGTAGTTGTTGGTAGATAGACCAGGGAGAGTCCAGTGAGGTAAACAATAGGTTGGTGAAAGGTCTCAATGAAGATGTTCTACAGGAAGGTGGGTTGTAAGGACTGAGAGTGTTTGGCCCAGAGGAGGGCCAAAGAGAGAAAATATAGATGCTCTATAATATTGGTCTTTGAGAATTGGGCAGAGCTATCACTTAAAAGAGGGATTTGATTTTTTCTGCTTGGCTCCAGATAGACTGATAGATTGAGCATTTATTAAGCACTTACTGTGTGCCAGGTTTGGGGCAGCTAGGTGATGCCATAGTGCTTAGGGTGCCGGGCCTGAGGTCAGAATGACTCATCTTCATGAGTTCAAATCCATCCTCAGACACTTACTAGCCGTGTGGCCCTGGGCAAGTCACTTAACCCTGTTTGCCTGTTTCCTCATCTGTAAAATGAGCTGGAGAAGGAAATGGTAAACCACTCCAGTATCTCTGCCAAGAAAATCCCAGATGGGGTCACAAAGAGTCAGACATGGCTGAGACAACTGAAAAACAACAGCATGGACTAGGCAGAAGAGTAATGGATAGAAATTTTAAAGAGGCAAAAAAGGATTTGGGAAAAAAAGGTCAGGAAAAAATTCTTAACAGTTACAGAGTCACAGAAATTTAGTCTAATTTATTTATTCTGATTCATATTGTCCAAAAGCAGAATTAGTTGCCTTGAAAGGTGGTGAGTCCCCCATCTGGAAGTCTTCAGGCAGAGGCAGGATAATCATTTCTTTCCTATCTTGTATCAGAAATTTCTTTTTTAGATCGCCGACTCCGAGATTCTGTAAGCATGTGATTCTCTGAAGTAAATACATTTATGTATCTCTATATAGACATGTATATAGGTGATGTATACATGTGTGTGCATATATATACATATATATGTTCCCTCATATGTTTTTTGCTTTTAATAAATAACTTTTAGTTAGATAAAATTTAATACTTCAGTGAATTTCTGCAGCCCTCTGTCCATTCCACCAATGTGGGCACTCCCTCCAGTGGTACAGATTATAACCCATCCACATCTTCTTCTCCTGTGGGACTCATCCATGCTTTCTCATGCTCATCCAGGGATGATCTGCCCACCCTTATTTTTACATGAGATTTCTTTACCCACAAGACCTACTTCCAATAGAAAGGTCATGAAAGAAATGTGACAAGTGTCCCTAACAGCCAAAGGGAAGTCCACGAATTAGTTCTCCCTTCTGTAGCTAATTTTATCCACACAGAAACATGGTGGAACATTCAACTCGATTCATTTCAATTCACTGAGCATTTATTAAGCGCGTACTATGTGTTAGGCACTGTTGCTGGGGATGAAAAGACAAAATGAAAAAAGCATCTCTGTCCTCAAGGACCTTATGTTTTACAACATTCATATGGATAAGAAAATACAATCTAATTCGAGGAGAGAGAGGAATCCCCAACAACAGGGGCAATATCAGGAGAGCCTTACTGGAGAAGGTGACACATAAGATAAAGCTTGGTGGAAGCTAAGGATTTTTAGAAGCAGAAGAAAGGAAGGATTGGAGGAGAAGAGAGGAACCGGGCATGTAGGACAGTTTGTACAATATCGTGGAGGCAAGCGATGGAATTAGTTGAGTGTGTGTTGGGCAAGATGGCAGCCTCTCAGGCCCTTTTCATCTATGAGATTCTCAAGGTCTGTGAAAACTCATGCAAGAGCCAGCTTCCTAGTCCAACAACGTCAGTTGGAGAAGGTAGATTGAATTTCTGTGGTTTCTTTTGTCAATCTGGGACATTTGCAGCATTCATTTGGACAAACAAATATGTGGAACTTTTATTCTCAACTCTCTCTAGACATTTCTTTCTTAGTTTGGGTCATGCATTCTCTCTCCTACCTACCCTCTTCTGGGCTATCTATGTAAGCAAGTTCGAAGAGGGAGAATTTAATGGAAGAGTGCATTCCAGAAGGGAGTAGGACAAGATGTCCTCTGAGCAGAGTTGTAATTAGCTTGGGGTGAGTGGGAGTTTGCCCTTGCCACTGGCAGGGGAGTGGAGTAATGATCTCCATTGATTCACCAGCCTCGGCCAGACCTGTTCCTTTCCCTGGGTCACTCTTGTCACCCTGTCATTGAGCCGCTCCTCTATCCCTAGGCCTCCTTCCTCCCAGAACACCTGCAGCTGAGCTCACACGACCATTTACTGCTCCCTCCTGCAACTGGATTTTGCCCCAGGTGAAAATATTCCTAGTTACAGCTCTGCTTCTGAGGTTCCTTCCCTCTCAATTCTTTTTTTTTGTTCCTTAATGTTGTTTTTCCCCAATTACATGGAAAGACAGTTTTCAATATTCATTTTGGTAAGATTTTGAGCTCCAAATTTTTCTCCCTCCTTCCTCTCCTCCCTCCCCAAGAGAGCATGCAATCTGACACAGGTTATACATGTACAATCGTGTTAAACATATTTCCACATTAGTCATGTTGTGAAAGAAGAATCAGAACAAAAGGGGAAAAACATGAGAAAGAAAAAACAAAAAACAAAAAAAGTGAAACTAGTATGCTTTGATCTGCATTCAAATGCTGTAGTTCTTTGTTTGGATGTGGTTAGCATTTTCCATCACAAATCTTTTGGACTCGTCTTGGATCATTGCATTGTTGAGATGAGCTAAGTCTCTCATAGGTAGACATCACACAATGTTGCTGTTGCTGTGTATAATGCTCTCCTGGTTCTGCTCACTTCACTCAGCATCAGTTCATGTAAGTCTTTCCAGGTTTTTCTAAAATCTGCCTGCTCATAATTTCTTATAGCAAAATAGTATTCCATTACATTCATATATCACAACTTGTTCAGCCATTCCCCAATTGATGGGTATCCCTTCAATTTCCAGTTCTTTGCTACCACAAAAGAGTTGCTATAAATATTTTTGTGCATGTGGTTCCTTTTCCCTTTTTTATGATCTCTTTGGGATACAGACCTAGTAGTGATATTGCTGGATCAAAGGGTATGCACAGTTTTACAGTCCTTTGGGCATAATTCCAAATTGCTCTCCAGAATGGTTGGATCAGTTCACTACTCCATCAACAATGCACCAGTGTTCCAATTTTCCCATCTTCTCCAACATTTATCGTTTTCCTTTTCTGTCATATTAGCCAATCTAATAAGTAGGAGGTCTTACCTCAGGGTTGTTTCAATTTGGATTAAATTAAGTTGGATTTTTCTAATCAATACCCATTCTCAATTCTATAGCCTGACATTTGGCATGGTAACAATAGTAACTCCCACTCATTAGACATTTCATATGTGATGTTTCATTTGATACAACAATCCTATGAGGGAGAAAATGAAAGTTTTATTGTCATTTTACAAATGAGGAAACTGAGGCAGAGGGAGGTGGTATGGCTTCAAAGGGTTAAACACATGATAAGGGGCTAAGCCAGATCTTCTGAGTTCATGTCCAGTGCTTTTTGTATCCTACACCATGCTGTGTGAGAATGCCTAGTGATATACCACCTACTTTCCATCTTCATAGTTTATAAAAGCCTTGGGGGAGGACATTGCCCACTTTCTAGTTATTAGATACTAGCAGAAAGCGTCAGCTCACAGGATTTAGAGCTAGAAGGGGCTTTTGAAATCATCTAGCCCAACATCCTTATTTAACAAATGAGGAAACTGAGACTCAGGGGGTACAGTGACAGTTGGGATTCAAACATAGGCTGTCCGACTTCAAATCCAAAGGCCTTTGTTTTAGATTCCTCTGTTTAAAAAAAGTGTATTGGGGAGTTGCTCGAACAGCCGAGTGGAGGTAGGCAGTGCTTCGAACCACACCAGGTCATTGCGACGAGCAGCGAGCAGGAAGGCCGGACACCACGTCACGCTACGGGCGGTTCGGAGGAGCGACCAAAGTATATGTTGGCAACCAGGGGACTGGTGCCGGCAAAGGAGAATTAGAAAGAGCGTTTAGTTACTATGGTCCCTTAAGAACTGTGTGGATTGCCAGCCATCCTCCAGGATTTGCTCTTGGGGAATTTCAAGATCCAAGAGATGCAGAAGACGCAGTTCGAGGACTAGATGGAAAGGTGATTTGTGGCTCTCAGGTAAGAGTAAAATTGTCAACAGGAATGCCCCGGGGATCTAGATATGATAAACCACCTGCACGTAGCCCATTTGATTCTAATGATAGATGTTATGAGCGTGGGGAGAGAGATCATTGTGTTTATGATTGTCATCGCTGCAGCCGACGAAGGAGAAGCAGGTCACGATGTCGATCTCACTCAAGGTCCAGAGGAAGGAGATATTCTCGCTCACGGAGCAGGAGCCGTGGGAGAAGAACAAGACCTACATCTTCTCGAAGGAAAAGATCTGCATCTCTTCGTAGGTTCAGGTCTGCTTTAACCCGATCTCGATCTGGCTCTTTCAAAACATGGAGCTATTTCCAATCATCCCGCTCAAGGTCCAGATTCAGGTCTCTTTCAAGACCTAGAAGCAGCCGATCAAAGTCCAGATCACCATCTCCAAAGAGAAGCCACTCACTTTCTGAAAGTCCTCGTAGGAGTGCAAGTCCTGAAGGAATGAACTGAAATGAAAAAAAATAACCTTTTTAAAGGAAAGTTATTTTGTTTACATTATTATGAGGAATTTTGTGATGTCTGTTCAGTGTAAGTGTAATCTAGAAGGCTATTTGAACCATCTAATAATCAGAATGGATCTAGATATTTTAAGAGCTCTGTAAATTTATGCCAGTAGAATAGCATAAATTTTTTTTTGTTGTTGTATATGTTAACATCTTATGATCTGAAAATGGTATTTTTTATGGGAACGTTTAAGAATAAAACTGTGTTTCTAACTAGACTTCTGATTTATGGTCACTTCTGTTAAAATTTGTCTTGGGCAAGTCTCAAACCCAGAGAACTTATTAGGCCTGTTCAGGGTCAGTATCAGGATGCGACTAGAAGGTGATAAAAAGTAGTCAAGTTGAATGCACTCATGAAATCTTTCATACATTTGGATAACTTCTTAACTGTCATTTGGGGCATTGAAAAAACCTACCTTTTCATAGTAGATCAGTTTGGAAGTAGGTATGTTTTAGAGACTTAACCTTAATTTTTCTTTTTTGTAACTGCCTGTCATCTGTGGCAGACTCAAATGCCTTATGAAATTATCATCACCGAGGGACCATAATTCATGAAATTGGCATAACAATTGGACAGAACTTAAAGTAAATTTTGGGAAGTGCTGAAGGGCCCATGATAAGTAATATATAATAGCACAAATTTTACTTTTGGACAGCTGCTGTGTCATAGCCAAAATTAATATAATAAGCACATTATAGGCAAGTCATCATCAGATAAGTAGTAATGAGTGTTGAAAAAGTCACCATTTGGAAATATATTGCTCACTACTGTGCAATAATTTTTAGTAATATATACATTTTAATGTTAAGCTAAATTGTTTGAAGATGCCAAAAATAAATGCATGTTGTTTTTTTTTCTAAAGAATTTCTTGGATTGAGGACAAAGACAAATGTAAACCAGCTTTGCAAAATTGTCATTTTCCCTGCCTAAGCACCTTTTTCATCTTCCAAGTCTTTAAAATTCTGCCCCAACTTCATCCTACCTGACCTTCCCACAGACAGGGCAGATTTTGCTAGGCTGATGAAAAGTATTTAAATTTGTTGATTATAAAACAAACTAAAATGTGGTTTCTATTCCAACAGTACATTTACATTGTTAGCTTTTGGTTTGCCTCATATCACTTGATGAACTTAAATTTTTAATAAAGACTAATAACATTCCCCATACTTTAAAATAGTAATATTTGAATACAGACCAAAGCATACTGTTTTTCCAGTACACCTGATACTGACTTCTGCCATAAGTTTAAATATATCAGGTAGCAATAGTAATTGGCCACTAATGAGTTTATTTGGTAATTTTTGAAGGCTTTGACATATCTAAGAGCCACTTTTTATATGCTAAGGTTACTTGAAGAAACCTTTTTGTTAAGGGATTTGAATATTGAATGAGCAGCATGATTTTGTATAGAAACCATCTAGAGTATACAGGTTTATCTGTTGCATTTTATCAGCTTTAATTGTTCTGTACTATATTAATGCAAATTTATAATAAATCTGCAGAGATTTAAAAAGTGTATTGTAACTCTTGTGATGGTGGTTTGTAAATGTTTCAGAGGGGAGATTTATTTTCCAGTTTTTAAAAACATTTTTATTTAAAGTTTTGAGTTCCAAATTCTATTGCTACTTCCCTCCTTCCCCTCCCCCCTCCCTAAGATGGTAAGCAATTAGATATAGGTTATCCTGGTGCAATTATGTAAAACGTTTCCATATTATTAATTTTGTACAAGAAGACTTGAATAAAAGAAAAAAAGAAAGAAAGTGAAAAATAGTATGCTTCAGTCTGTATTCAAATAATGTCAGTTCTTTCTTTGGAGGCGGATAGTATGCTTCATCATTAGTCCTTTGGGGTTGTCTTAGATCATTGTATTGCTGAGAATATCTAAGTCATTCCCAGTTCTTCATTGAACAATAGTGCTGTTACTGTGTACACTGTTCTCCTGGTTCTGTTCATTTCACCATGCATCAATTCACGTAAGCCTTTCCAAGTTTTTTGAAATCATCCTGCTTATCATTTCTTATAGCATAATAGTATTCCATTACAACCATATACCATAGCTTGTTTAGCCATTTCTCAATTGATGGGCATCCCTTTGGTTTCCAATTCTTAGCCACCACAAAAAGAGCTGCTATAAATATTTTTGTACAAATAGGTCCTTTCCCCTTTTTTGGGATGTCTTTGGGGTATAGCTTTAGCAGTGGTATTGCTGGATCAAAGGGTCTGCATAGTTTTATAGCCCTTTGGGCATAGTTCCAAATTGCTCTCCAGAATGGTTGGATCACAGAGGGGAGATTTTTAAAATAATAATTAAACATTCATATTAAGGATCCCCAGAACCCTCCTCCAGTAGCTAGAGGTGACTCTGGAAACCATGAAACTGAAGTTTCATGGCCTTCACGGAAGGCCGGGTCCTTCCTGGCTGACAAAGCTTTGAATATTCTCCAAAAATGATAACTGTCTTTCAGAGCTTGTTACTGGAAATTGAAAACTGAAAGGCTAAAGGGGATAGAATGTGAGGGAGATTTATGTCATCGAAGCTTTAACTTTAAATATGTTTTTACAGTAGAATTCAAAACACTCTTATGTGTTTCATAAATTCCAAAAGGTCATAAACCTAGTTCCGAAAATATTAAATTCCAGATGTGGCCAAGATGTTGAGAGAGAGACTTACTCTGTGCTTACTGACACACTCTTACAACAATCTTCTAACTCATATGAAATTTCTTTGGACTCTTTCTTTATATGGGATTTTCTAACCCATCCTACAGCCTAAGCTATTTTTCTTAAAACAAAACAAAACCAAAAACCAACCATCCAGATGAGTTTTGCTCCCAGATTTTCTCTGGATCATATAAGAAGGGAATTTTGAAACCACCAAGATTCTAAACAAAAAGGTCCAGTACAGTTGAAATCCAAATATCCTTTGATAAGGAACATCTGCAGAGAATCTCAAGCCATGTTAAGAAGGAGAATATAAGCTAAGGGCCAGGAGAAACCCAAGGACATTCTGACACATTGCAGATCTGTGTCTTGACTGAAGCCTTTTATCTGGAGAGGTTTATCTCAGGTCACAGCAAAGAGAACAACTCAAGAAGAATGAGGCAGGTTCCTGTTTCTGGGTCACATTTTGACCAAATGAAAAATATTTTCTTTTTGTTTTCATAGACTTTTTTTTTAGAAAAACTTAAGCAACAGATACATTGCTTAGAGTTGAATATTTTTTAAAGGAAGTTGTTACCCTGAATTGTGCAGGATTCTAAAATGTCCAGCTAATCTCGGATTTTAGAGACAAATGGACAGTAGCTTAACTGGCTTATTTTGGCAAGACTCCTGTCCTTTCTTGGACTATTCAGAAAGAGAAAAATCAAAGGTTTATTTCTTTTTTTTTTAAATTATGGAGGGATGGAGGTGGAGATAGAATAAGAGCTGGAAAGACAGAGAATATATTTTTGAAGACAGTCCTTTATCATGAAACTACCATTCCTTTTTCTTCTTCTGTCCTGAAAGTGATGCCAGTTTTTGAAAATAACAGATTTTTAAGAGAAGAGGGGGAGAGATAGAAGAGAGAGCAGATTAGGGGAAGGGGTGTTCAGAATGCATGCCATTTTAGGGTGGGGGGAGGAATGAAATGGGGAGAAAACTTGGAACTCAAAATCTCGTGGAAGTGAATATTGAAAGCTAAAAATAAATAAAATTTAAAAATAAATATAATAAAGCCTTTCACAAAAAAAGAAAATAACAGTTTTTAAAAAGCAAATATGAACTCATATTTACAGCTTATCTAATACACAGAATAAACATAAGATTTTTAAGAGCATATTTAATTTTTTTAGTTTTTTTAAAATTAATTTTGATTTATATCTGTTATTTCTCCCTCCTCTAGATTTCCCCTAGATCCCTCCTGCCCTCCCTCCCAGAGAGATAGCCTTTATGATGAAGAGAGAAAAGATCAGCAAAATGGAAAACACATCACAAAAAGTATGTTTATTTTAAAGAGCTAAAAAGACATGAGTTCAAATTCCATCTCTGACACAGGCCTGTGTGAGCCTAAACAAGTCACTTGCCATCTTTAGTGCTCCAGTCAAATAGCTAGTACTCTAAGTTGTAAAGGAGGTGGTAGCCTACACTAGGGAAAGGGTTTTCCTCATCTGGGAGTTCCCTGTACCACTAAAATGAGAGATCTTGTCCTCTATTTCAAGAATTATTTGGGGATCATCAAAACCAGCCTGAATAAGTTAGGATTCCTTGCCTAGAAAATATCAGCATCCACCTTATCCAACCTTTTAGGTGATAGAATTTGGGAATCTAAAGCACATAAAAAATAGTATTTGAAGGTGGAGGTATGTAAGGGAAATGTTTTTGATTTTCTTAAAATTGAGAGGAGATAGATAAGTGCATGAGGGAGAGAATATGTAACTAAATAAGGAATTTTAAGTACATAGAGATCTCCATGATTCTCTAAACTGATTGCACTTTGTCCTAGACTGAGCAAAAGGATAAATTCTTTAATTTAACCTTTAATGACCACCTGCTTACTGTTGCCTAGGGTTATGAGAAGGAAGAACTGGTCAGCACTCACCTTGTTGTCCAGGCCCCGTCTGCTCAGAACTTCTACTTCCCTATCTTTCTCTCCCTCTCAGTGGAATGAACAATTTGAAAGGCTCCTCCTACACTCTCTTCTCCCCATTCCCATAATTTAAGGGTCAACAGAGACCACTGATGGAAGGTTCTGTAGCCTTCTATAGCAGTATGATGTAGTGCAGAGTTCTGGGTTTGGAAACAAATGACATGGCTTCAAACGTATACTCTGTTGCTTGTTTCTAGTGTAACTTGGCCAAGTCAACTATGCCTCAGTGTCCTTGGGGTTCTGGAAATATATGACCTCCTAAAGGTCTCTTCCTGGCATCTTGGTGAAGTGAAAAACATTGGAGTCAAAGGACCCAGGTCTGATTCTGGGTACAGTTACTTCATATCTGTATGACCCTGACCAACTCTCTTATCCCTTCTGGTCCTTGGTTTCTTTACTTGTAAACTAAGGAAGTTGGATTTGACCTCTAAAGACCTTCTGGCTACAGATTTGGGAGGCTCTGAGTGATCCCTTTCTTCCCAGATTAAACATATTCCAATTCATCCTAGAACTTGAATGGAAAGAAGGTACAACAGCCCCTTTAAATCACCGGTTCCATTCTTTCCACACACACCCTGCTCTTTTCCTCATACACAAAGTAGAGTCAAACAGGACCTCAGAGAACAGATAATTCATCTCATAGCTGAGGAATTCGTATACAGCCCACCGAACAAGGGGTTTTTCAGACTTTGCT